GGGGGGGGGGGGAAATGCAGATGCGGGGGCTTCACAGAGAAACCACAAGCAGAGAGAGAATTGCAATAATGCAAAAAAGACAGAGAAGAGTAAGAAAGGAGTGTGAGAGAAATGATAAGAGTGGGCAGATATGTAAATACAGCGTGAACAAGAAGAGTGCAGGAAGAAGAAGACTAATCATGAAATAAGTATCAACATCACATTGCTGATTTAATACTCTACGACGTGCATACACTGTCAAAACACTTAGGTGAATCGTATAGGTCTTTAAGAAGAGGCGTCCTTCCAGTGTTTGTTATGTTCTACACTTACAGTACATCAAGTTCCACACACACACACACACACACACACACACACACACACACACACACACACACACACACACACACAATGTTGAACAAACACCAGGCCTCGATCAGAAGTGCTTTTTGTGAAATGTTTTACTAATGGTGTGTAGCTCCTAACTGTGGAGTGCTTAGCTCGGCAGATCAAACTGCCATTATTTAAATTACAGGAGTGGATGGACTTGATTTAAGACGGATTTAACAATTAACACTGCTAATCAAGCCAGCAAATTAACTGGCGTAAGACATGAAGGTACAATTAATGGAGCTAACTATAAGACATTAAAATGTACTCTTGGTCTCAATCATATCATTTGGTTAGGTGTATAATTCAGCATTTATCATTATAAAATGATAAAAAAAAAGAAGTCTATATATTTTAAAGGTATAATATGTCAAGCCATTTAAGCCTTATCTAAAAGCCTGCATGAGTGATATCATTACAAAACACTTCAAATTAATTTTATGAAACAGCATATGAAGAACAAATTGCCTGCATCTGCTTTCAAAATATTAAACCCTTTATGCCTTCCTCTTTGGTGAATAATATGCTTAAAGGAACTATATACTTAGAAACCCAAACTTGACATATACCGAGTCACTCTAAGATAGCAGCTCCTGCATTACTTTTATAACCAGGGTCAGTAAATGTGGAAAGTAGAAATAAACCTTTCCAGAGAGAGAGCTGTGATAATACCTCATAAATGCTTGCTGACCAGCAATTCTCAAAAAGACTAAGAAACTCTTTTGAGGGAAGGTGAAATATCTTTTTCTTTTCTTCTTCCCATGCCTCTAACCGGCTCATTCTTTTGAAACCAGTAGAAAAGGACCTGTGCTCAGAGACTAGCCTCAGGGGTCTGGAGCCAAAATTAAACCGGTCCCGTCTAGTTCGCTTTATCACCGTTAGGAGCAGACAGCCAGCGACCATGGAGCACACCCATCTACATTTATACACACACACACACAGCCGGGGTTAACTGGCACACTGGCACTGAGGGTGTGAGCCCCTCCACCCGCCATCTATGGGCTGGTTGCCAAAAATGCTCCACGTCCAAAAATACACACGCAACACACACACACCAACACACACGAACGCACACACACACATAAATCCCTAGCTTAGCCTCAGCCCAGTGCTGGGATTACCGGATTAGAACTCTATTCCATTATCTCCCCCCACTATACAGCACACACACAGAGACACACAATGCCACACTGTCTTGACCAGAGAGGACAGGCTGTAGAACAGTGTCAATCACAACACATGATATTTACACACAAGTGGATACAGTTACAGTTACCGAGTTGTGAAAAACAGCCACATATTTACTTTTGTATTTGGCATTACTAGACTCCTTCTGCATGAGACCTGGTTCTGAGCACCTACCCTTCAAACTCTGGAAAGACTGTTTCATAGCTGAACGTGACCTCTGACCTCATTGAGAGGCAAGATGGTGGGAAAGAAGAATTTTTCCTTCAGACGCCCAACGGCATCGAATAATTCCTCAAGGACACGGACATAAAAACGTACAGTGTAAACAGAAAGCAAGGCTACAGAGTTTTTCTTCTGTTACTCAAATTGTGATTTTACTCACTGGCGGCAATTTCATTCACGTAGCTTAACATCACAACTGTACAGCACACAAAAGGTTCAATCATTACACTCTGTCTCAGAATATAAAAGATTTATTCTCTCACGATTTCTTGATAAACCATTGAGATACAAAGTGCTTGGAGCGTTTTTGGGCCCTGCTGGTTCTGGATGTAAAAGTCCCACTCATTTCTCTGCAGACACTTTTAAAAAAGCACCTCAAAGGCTTAGTAATATTTGATTCTTTGATATTAAGACAAAAGGTAAAAGCCTGAGTAGATAAATGAGAGAAGGGAACTACGATTCTCAAGCTGCACTTTGGTAGAAATATCCAGTTCTGTAACAGGAGCACATATAACAGGTGAAAGCATAAAATGGTGCTACTGAGAATTTTTGTTTATGTGTAAAATATGCATTATTATAGTGCCCTGATTTGCTAGTTATTTTTGGCCAATGTGTATGAAACACAAAACATTGAGTCTGTTACCCAAGAGTCCTCATGCAATCACGTGAGCTAACTATCGCATTATGATTTTAATAGTTTCGTGCTTTTTTTCTCTCCATTAAAAAAAGGTATGTCTTTTACTTGTATAACATGTTGAAGGGAAATCATTATTTCACACATTGTCCCAAGATGTTAGAAGACAAAGAAAACAAAACAAATCACGAGACAATCAACATAAAACATCTGAAAGAATCTTCAAATCCCCAAAATGTAAGATAAATACAAAATAATTCCCACAGGGTCCCCTCTCCCTCTCTTTTAACCAAGGGGTCCTTGGCCTGAGAAATGTTGAGGACTCCTGAATATTTGTTTGTGTACTCATTAGTTTGCAGTCAGTTGGGATTTTTCTAGTTGTTGAGATAATATTAAAAGCTTGATTCCCAGTAAAGTGGATTTCTATAGAGCCGGTCTAATTGTGTCTTAAAAAGCGCACACTTTCCTCTTCTGGCTGGTGAAGGTGCCTCGTGAAGATTCTTCCTACATACTCCAAGTTTCTATACAAACCTGTACATGTGTGTCTCAAGCATTCATACAAAGAAACCACTGCTACAGTGAGTGAGTGTGTGTTTCTGTGAGAAGAGAAGAAGTGGCTGCAGAGCCAGTTGTCACTTACATAGTCATGGAAGGCCTTCGCCTCACTGGAGTGCTCACATGTCTCCCTTCGGTCTGGAGCCGCACAATACAAGTCCCAGAATACACTGAAAAGAGGGGCGGGGGGGGTTGGGACGAAGAGGTCAGAGGTTAGCATACAGAGCAATACAAGCAAATGTGTAACAGCTATTCATAACCCATCCACACACTCTCACTATCTCCCTAGCGCTCTTAAACTGCCTCTTATATACTTGAGCATCATTGTAAGAGGGACACAATGCCAGTGTCGCCCCCTCAATCAACCTCTCACTCACTCAAAAATACACACACACTCACTTGTGTTACAGTACATGCATGGACCATCCATTTCTTAGCTTCAAACATGAACTGTTAGACTTAAATCATGAATATAGAGCTAAACTCAATGACATATTCTTTTACCAGGGATGATAAGATTTGCTCATAAAATGATCTCCAAAAGGTCAAGGCAATAATAAGAGTTGACACAAAATGTCTCCATAATGGATATTTGTTTCAGTTTGTATAAACAGAGTAAGTGGAAAATCATCATCGCAAACGTGCTAGGCAACAACGCTGACGGATGGTGTGCTACCTGTCTAAGAGGCCTTCATTGAATCAGTCTTTGTGCATTGATTTAGTGGAAGTGCTATACACAGAGTGAAACAGCGACATGGCTAACGAGAGGACCAATCAGGCAGCCACTTCACAGAGCCCGGCAATCTGCGTTGCACACAGACATGTTGAAAGCCCAACATCTGGAATTGTTCGCACTTCTTAAGACATGCTAGATATGAGTGAGTTGATTGAGATCATTAAAGAGGCCCTATTATGCTTTTTGGGGTTTTCCTTTTCCCTTGGTGTGTTCAATAGGTTTTTGTGAATGTAAATGGTCTGCAAAGGCTACAATCCTGAAGTTCACACCAGAGGAAGTTTCTCTCCCGCACACTGCCTGAAACGCCTCCATTTGACTTCTTTGTTTACTTTGGGAACATCGTGACATCACTTTGTAACACTTTTGTTGGCTAGCGCTCCAAAACATTGTACATGATAGGGGCGGGACAACTCTAACAGGTTGACCAATCACAACAGAGCTGTTCAGCTGACCAATCAGAGCAGACTGGGCCCTGGTTTCAGACAGAGGGTGAAAAGAGGTGCTGCAGCACAGGCAGTATGAAGGGGACACGTCACAATAGAGGCACACAATACCCCTTCAAGAGGCATTTATACAATATTTTGATCTCTAAAAGTGTTTTCCTCCATCTCCTCTTTAGCGTATAGGACTGAGGGCTTGGTTGAGCTACACATGATAAGGTTGTCAGTGTGTTGCTCAAGGACACATCAACAGGGAGTAATTATTAAGAAGCTACAAGACCTGAACCTTCTATTCAACAAGGTTATCTGTCCTTTCACTGTAAGCCTCAACAAGGAGAGAAGGTAAAGAAAAGGATGTTTGCCCAGGTATAAAAAACAACATTATATATATTATTTATTTTATTTTGCAAAGAAACAACCTACATCTAGGTGTTGGCCCTTAATAAACAAGAGAAGACACTTATTCTCAAGATGTATCCGTGCTTTTTTTTTGCTTTTAGGTTATTATTCTGTTCCTTCATTTTCTTTTTATTAAAACATGTCCTTGGTCTCACATTGCTGATAGAAGAATGAACGCCAGGCTTTTAAAGCACCGACTCAGCAGAGCCCCCCCTGAGGTGAAAAGTTACACTCGATACTGTACTTTTCAAAGAGCATCTAAGAGTATATTTACCAGTCAGTAATTCTACATTTACAGGTTTTTAAATATGTGTTCCTTTGTAATATGTACACTGGTGATTTCAGTAATGTCCTTCAGCCACACAGTGAATAATATTCTTCATCCAGTGGCCCACTTTGTGTAGCTTTAATTTAATATTCCCCATAAGAGCAAGTAAAAAGGCTATAACAAATAATCACAAGAATTTAAAGAATCTGCGATAAAACACATTTTATTTGTATTTGGTGCCTCTACTCCAGTGGTTCTCAAACTTGTCCTGTCATTTCCCACTTTGAAGAGGTGGGCCTTTTCAAGCCCCAATCAAATGGTAGGCCAAGCTTAAAATGGTCAAATGTATCGTTCTATAACAGGGGTCTCCAACCTTTCAAAGCTACTTTCAAAAAATAAAACAAGTCGTGAGCTACTTTAACTCCTCTTTTTTAGTTTTTTGCAGTGTATATAATTAGAACATTTTAACATTATTGTATGCTGACCTTTAACCTTTGTGTGCTGTTTGGCTCTGTGGGACTCTTTTCAGTGTTTACTAAAAGAAAATGTATTCAATTTAATTATTTTAACCTGCTTTATTTGGGGGTGGACCCCCGGGAAGATTTCTTTTTTAAATGTTGAAGTGAAATGCATCAATCTGGTGCACTTTGAGCACAAAATTAAATGTATGATACAGCTCTCAACTCTCATATGAAAAAGAGCTGTATACTTTTCAATAATCCAAACATCTTTAGAATATGATCACAACCAATAACAAATCATTTACACTTGTTTATTCTTATGTTATAGTTTGCATTCTTTCTTTTTATTTATCCATATTTTACTAATCACTCCCCTTTTACTGTCCTATAGTACACATTGGAATGATTTCTTACTTTATTTTTTACAACTAGGCTATATTAAATAGATAAAGTCTCTCTCTCTCTCTCTCTCTCTCTCTCTCTCTCTCTCTCTCTCATCTCCAATCATCAAATCAATCTCATCATCATCTGATCTCATCATCTCTCTCTCTCTCTCATCATCACCTCATCTCACACATCTCAATCACACAATCATCTCACTCTCTCCAATCACTCTCAGTCACATCTCAATCTCTTCTCACAATCTCAAAGTCTCACAAAAGATACATCATCTCCATCATCAATCCCCATCTCTCATCACTCTCATCAAGAAATCAAAATCTCACAATACTCTTCCTCTCTCCTCTCTCTCTCTCTCAACTCTTCTCTCTTCACTCCTCTTCACTCTCTTCTCACTCTTCTCCTCCTCTCACTCTCTCTCACTCCTCTCACTCTCTCCTCACTCTCTCTCTCTCACTCGTATCTCAACTATCCCTCTCTCTCACGTCCTCCTCTCTCCTCACTCTCACACAGGCAGCCACACAGAGGCTGTGTGCTAAATATATATATATATTGTATTTTTTACAACTAGAGATTTTTACATATGTCTGTAAATTATTTTGGTTTCAGTTTTGTGTGAGCAGGCTCGGATTGGCCATCGGGAGATTCGGGACTTTTCCCGGTGGGCCGCTGCCGTTGGTGGGCTGCTGCCGTTGGTGGGCCGTTGGCTCTGGCATAGGTGGGCCGCAGACTTTCACAGCGCCGCTGTGCCGGTACCGCATCCGCCGCTTCAAACACCAGCCGTTGCGAGGCTCCGGCGCTGTGAAAGTCCACCGCCGTTGCGACTCTCCAGCTGTAACAGTCCACCACCACCCGCAAGGACCCAGGTTCGATTCCGGTCTGAGGTCCAAAAAATGTATTTAAAATAATTTTCTCCCGTTCATCGCGTCCATTCACGACCCACCTATCACACTTTGAGAAACGCTGCTCTACTGTGACATGTCTCCGTGCTTTAATGTTCAAAAAGGTCTTTACTTTTCTCATACTGCCTGTGCTGCAGCACTTCTTTTCGCCCTCTGTCTGAAACCAGAGCCCAGTCTGCTCTGATTGGTTAGCTGGCCGGCTCTGTTGTGATTCGTCAACCACTTAGAGATGTCCCTTCCCTTAGGATATCACATACAATGTGTTGGAGTGCTAGCCAATAGGAGCGTGAGTGTTACGTAGCGATGTCATTATGTTACAGAAGTAAGACATGTACAATTACACAAATGTAAGATGCTTTTGTTTCTTAGGTCTCAGTGAGTCTATTACTCTATTTGATGGAAAGAATAAGGCTGGATATAATCTCTATCCTCTTATTGTCAACAAATCCCCTGGAAAAGACTCAAAATAGGGGAGGGGGAGAAATCAGATTACTGATTACCAGCTGCATGTTAACCAGGGTTTTACAGTAAAACATTTTATAATTACTTTATGTGTTACTGATTTTCCTGCAAAAAGCTTGACTATGAACTGAACCTGCAATTTCAAAAACAAGTGAAACCACTGACCGGGGCTTAAGGTGATGACCGCAAGGGTCAAATCTTAGCCAGGGGCAGAAATGACAGGAGGGGGACGGGGGGGAGGAAGACAGCGGAGGGAGAGGTGACACAAAGGAAGATGGAATGCAACGGGTTAATCTGCTAAGAATCCCTCTCCCTCATGAACAAAGGAGAAAAGTGGGAGGTGAGGGGCACACAAAGGGTGACGAGAGGGTGAGGGGGGGAGGGGAGTCCATTCCCTAACCATCTGGATCTATTGTTTCAGGATCGGGGGTGAAGGGTGGAGAACTGGAGGAGGGGAGAAGACGGGGAGGGAGGGGTCACGCCCTCACAGAGTCTGGTCAACCCCAGACTGAGACTCTGCTCCACCTCCCACCTCTGGAAGTCATTTCAATCATGACTGGAGCACCAACAATAAGTCAAAATCTGGTCATTTTCAAAACATGAATCTGTTGATGTTCATTTATGAGTTGAACATGCTTAACATTTATTTGGCTCTTCCATGAGCCTTCAGACCATTCAAGCTAACGTTTGTGCATGTGACCGTACCTTTTTCTACCCAGATCTGACAAAAGAGGGCCATTTATCTGATTTTGCTGGCTGCCAATCATCACAAGCGTTATTCAGTTTAATGTTGCATGTTATTGGCCTATTACCAAATCAGCTACAACCCAATTATGGTGTTCTGACGTCAACTTCATGTATTTCACAGAGTTAGCCATTTATACTTTTTTAGCTACTATTGTATATCATTTTGTAAATGCAATAACAACATATTTTGTGTTAAAAAAACATTTGGATCTGGAAGAGAGGTGGTGGCATTTCACATTACCACACGATGGGTATCAATGAAGTAGGATAACTACTCATCAAATGAAGTGCTTTATTAGTGTCGCTATTACTGTAAGGGTGCTGGTGTTAGTAACGTAATAAAACAATACGTGTATGATGGTCACTAGAGTCCTGTTAATGATTGAGTATGTGTGGCGAGGTAGGATACACAGCTTTAGACATGTACTGTAAAAACTGTTTACTCACACAAGTAAACAACATGGATGGGCTTACTGTATCAAAACAAAGACTGGGAGAAAAAAAAGAATAGCAAACTGAAACTCACCACCACCACGAATGGAGGAATCCAGGAGGCTCCCCTAATGTAATATTCTTCTCCCATCGAATCTGGAGGAGAGGAGAGAAGAGTCACTTGTGGCCACTAGAGAGAGGATTATGTCTGCAGGTCCAGAGGTTAAGAACATATAATCAGTCAGTCTCAAACTGTCAATGGCCTCGGACGGGAAGATAGGCATCTATCTGCCTCTGTCGATCTCCATCTTGCTTCTGTTACATCTCTGTCCTGTCTGCTTTTCTTTACATATGAAAGGCTTTATGGATACGGGCAAGTCATGTACTCACTTACTGCCAGCCCCCAAAAGGGCTTTTAGGAGGAAATGTAAACAGTCAACACCATGCCTACATATGTCTACAATCTCCGAAGACAACTGCGTCAGATGTTTTTACACTAAGATTAACAATGGCAGACAGGGAGCATGATCTGGTGTAACTTTATAGGATTTCCTCTTGAATAATTAATGCAACAGCTCAGGTGCGGCAATCACGTTTAGCATGTTTGCTCTGACACCGCAAGTTGTTGTAAACATGCACTTTAGCTGTGTCATAGCGTGTGTAGTTTTACTACTGAGGAAAGCCGTTTTTATTCACAAATCACCAAGGCCAATGTAAAATCATCACTAATTCTTTATTTTCCTATCTAGCGCCAGTCTAGATACACAATTTAAGACAGAGAGAATAACAAGGATTGGCTCAGTGCTTTTGAAACAGCCTGTCCTCCTCCAAAAAACGACCAAATAGGTTGATTGTTCAGCAGCTTATTACGACCTATAGTCACGTTTGAAAGTTTAGCACCTCTAGTGGTCGTGTAAGAAACAACAATTTGCGGCATATGGGCTGATGCTACCGTTGATTGCAAACGCTCCGGAGGGTTGTATATTCACAAATAACCCTCTCTGGAAAATCCTAAATTGTAGAATACTTTGGCCATTAAAATGCTTTTGATTAGATTTCTAGCGAGAAGGGTATATTGTACTTTTAGAGTCCAGGTCCAGTGGATGTGTAGGATATATAGTTTGATAGATATTACGAAGATGATTTGAGGTCCCGCCAGGAGAACGTGTATATACTACGTCTTTCCCCTATTTTTATTTCTAT